GAATAATGCATGTTTTTGAAACAAAACAAAAATGTAAATAAATAAGTGGGAAGAAATAAGAAGGCACGAATTCTAATATCTGACCAGGTATTATTCTCCTATCAAGTAACCTGAAGGAAGCCCTTAAGAGCCTGTGGCCATCATTAATAAGCCTCATTTTGAGGGTTCAGCATAGAGAACTGCTATGTTTTATGGACCCAACAAGCCATTTTTTTTCCAAGCTCAAAAAGCAGCAGTAATAATCGCCATCCTCCCAGGCTAAGTATTTAGGGGAAGTTTGAGTATGATGAGGGTGATGGATTCTGAATTCCCTTTCTATGTCATAATAAGGACAAAAAAAAAAGTTTGTGCCATCTACACAATCGCTTGAGTCAACTGGAGGGCTGACAGGAGCCCATGAGCTAGGGCCCAAGATGTTTTCCCTTTCTCTCTGGAGGAATACTATAATCCTTCCTTGCAGCACAGCAGAACAAACACAACTGTCTCACAGATTCCTTGGTGGATCTCACAGACTGTCATGTGTTTCATTTTCAAAGGTATCTTTCCCTCCCTGGGACACTGGGAGGTCATGCTGAGGCCTGCTGGGGTGGTCTGGGCACGTTCTCCCACACATGCGGGACTCGGCCAGCTCTCACTCTCTGCCTGGGCTTTGAAGTTATCTGTGGCTCTTCCAGTGTATTCCCCATATCAAATGAGTCCTATCAATCCCCCTTTTGAAATTTCTCCAGAAGTTACTGTTCCTTCCTCTCCGTTCCTGTTGACTTGATTCAGGCCATTTGATCTTTTACCTAGATTTTTTTTTTTTTTTAAGTAACAGTTTAACTGGTCTTCCAGTCTTCAACCCACTCTTCCATCCTCCACACTGCCAGAAATTCCCGAAAACCCCGTCTGATCATATCATTCTTCTGCTTTTAAATCATTTGACGACTTCTTGATTACAGGATAAGGTCCAGAAGCCCAGACCGCCTAGACCTCATCCAGATTTCTAACTAGATCTCCCGCCCTATCCCCTGCTATCTTCCCTCCTGCTCCAGCTGTCACCATCTCTGCCCCCAGGAGCCTCGGACCCCAGATGTGCAGGCTCCGTGTTGCCTGAAGAGAACAGGCTCTCTCGTGCTGCTGTGCCCATACCAGTGTGCCTCTCTCTTGCAAGGAAGGTCTCCTCACGCAACAATTTGAGGGCAGTAGGAAGGCAAGCGAGGTGGAAAGACAAGGAGGTGAGGTTAACAAGGGTACAGATAACCATTACTAAAAGCAGCACAGTGTTCACAGGGTTCCTGAGAGGGTGGGTGCTCCAGAAATACTGAATAACTGAATGGGTGAATAAATGAATTGCCAACTGTGAGGTCCAGCCTGCAGAGGCAGGCAAGTGAGAATGATGGACCACAAGTACAGCTCTGAATTTTTGCCTCCAACTCCCACCCCTTTTTTTCTATCTCCTTCCCCCTCCCCTTCTGTGAGACCTCCATGTTTATGTTTCTTCTCATTTACAGACTACTAGAACACTACCACAGATGCATTTAATCATGCCACGCAGAATTTATTTATTCATTCCTCATAAATCAATCCCTCCAGCCATCTGGAAAACAAGAACCACTTCTACTGCTTTTCAAGCTCCTTTTAACTAATCTTTTTAGTACGTGCTATCGTGCCTGGTACAAAACGTAGTATTTTATGCACAGCCGCACCAGAGACATCAAGGACTTTATGACCTTTTTTCCCTGTTGTTGTTCTTGTTGTGTACATTAGGAAATCCCAGGTGAAAACACTAAATAAAGTAAGAACAATTAAAAAGCAAAGCAAGAAAATCATATCACTACAGAGTATGGTAAATGGAACAATTTCTGCATGTGGCTCACAGTAAAAAGCTTCGCCATTTTACGGTCAGACCTTGTAAACCACAAGCAGGAACTCTCCTGTAAAGGCAAGTGAAGAGTGGCAAAGGACTACTCATGTAAAAACACATTCTACAATCACAAGCAATGCCAATCTCATCTGCCTCAGCTTTCGGGTCTATTAAATGGGAATAACAGATGGAGACTCGCTTGCCTCCATCACCTACTGAGAGCGCTGTGAACAGAACAAGTACTTTGGTGATATGGATGCTATATGCTAGCATCTTCGATTAGAAGCAATGATGAGAACTAAGCTAAACCACTCTGGATTAGCCAGAAGGCTTCCTGGAGGTGTCCAGATTAAGCTCAGGGGAAACCCTAACTGACTGTTTCACTAGAGCCTGGACTGCTGTAACTATGTGCGAGAGTTATAACTACACGTAAGTGGACCGGATACACAAACACACATGCCTTTCACAGAAGATGGCCAACAGGAAAAACCATTAAATACCAAACCATGAGTGCCTTTCTGTGAGGAACTTTAAATTCAGGGTCTCTCTTCTACTGTTCCTGTCTTGAGACACCTTTACTAGACAATTTCTTCTTATCCTTCTGAACCTGTGGTTTGCATACTAGTATGTTCTTCCCAAGTTGGTCACCTCCTCAGAGAGGCCTTCCCTGACCTTTCGAACTCTCTAATCTTTCTAAAGAATTATTCCTCAGTTATCGTCTACTGTCATTCATTTTATTTCCATCTTGGTACTTACTATAATGGGTAAATAACTAAGTAGTTTTACTCATTTACACAACTATATCTAAATTTCAGATCAACCTGGATCTTACCTATGTTAATCCTACCACTGTATCTGCATTGCCTAGGACAGTGCCTACCTCATAGCAGATATTCAAAAAGTATTTGTCAAATGAATCGGTGAAGGAGTTTGTCCTCACAGTGACAATAAAGTTGACTCAAACTTCTGAGCATGACACTCAAGGCCCCAATATATTTATCTGGGCTTATAGCCTACCTTTTCATACCTCTGTATATTATGCCTGTTGATATCTCTGTAGAAGCTTGCTTTCTGCCTGGAAAGCCCTTCTTCCTACCAAATAACTTATCTTTCAAGGCCCTTTCCAAACACACCTTTGCTGTGAAATCTTCTCCAATCCTAGACACACACATTCCTCTGCTGAGTCCTTACAAGAGTTACAACATTTACATTATACGGTTATAACAGAAATAAATAACAATAATGAGAGCTAACATTTTATTGAGCATTAGCTCGAGGCTGGGTACAATTATAACCACTTTATGTTATTATTTCATTTAATCCTGAAAACAACTATAAAAGTTAGGTGTTCTCATAAGTACTTAATGTTCGCTTAGCCAGCTAGAATCAACTTCGTGAAGGCAGGGTGGGTGCCTTAAAGCCTTGCTATTTCCCAGAACCTAGCAAAGTTTCTGCAGTGTCATATGCCTCCACTACAAATTTGCTAAATAATAAATTCTGACACAGTTTCTTGTCCTCTGACTTTATGTTGAAAATGGCAATCCTGATCAGTTAAAGAACCAGAAAATAGTTTTAAGTAATTGGACAAATTTAATATTAAAGTCCCTTCTAACTACAAGAAACTCAGAAGTCAGAAAAGAAAAGAGTAATGAATCTGGCAATGTAAAAGTGTTTAATATTTGTAGATTTTTCTAAAAGGAGACAAAAAGAAATGGAAAAAAAATACACTCCACCTGCATTAGATAAAACATTAAGAATATATGAAAGTCTCCTAGAAAAGATGTGCCCATCAGAAAACAGGCACACCATATAAACAGGAAACTTCCAGAAAAAGAAATTTAAATGGCTAGTAAACATATGAAAATGTGCTCAACCTCATTAATCTAAAAAAAGTGAAAATTAAAATAATGATAAAAATTTGCTGATTTATTTTGCCTATCATAGCGTAAAGATGAAAAAATTCTAGTATTCAGCACCAGCAAGGATGTGAGGGAAATAAGCACTCATATAGTCATGCAACAGAAATGTTCTAATATACTTAAAAGATAAACACACTCACACACATGCAAGGTTATTCACTGCAGCACTGTTTGTAATAGCAAGACTGGAAAGCGAAATGTGTATCAACAGAAACTTGGTTAAATAAACTACGGTACAGCTACACCATGAACTTACATGCAGTTATTGAAAAGAATGATGTTACTGGATAACCAAATAATAGATGGAGAGAATTCTCCTTCTATAAATGTATTCCAGGGGCGCCTGGGTGGCTCAGTCAGTTAAGTGTCTGCCTTCAGCTCAGGCCCAGGATCAGGCCCTGCATCAGGCTCCCTGCTCAGCAGGGAGTCTGCTTCTCTCTCTCCCCACCTCATGCTCTCTTGTGCATGCGCTATCTCTCTCAAAAAAAAAAAAAAACTTCTAAAAAATAAATGTATTCCAGATAATAAAAATCCAATTATAAAAAAGGGAGAGGATTTGAACAGACACTTCATCCAAGAGGATAAGGTTGCCAAATAAACACATGAAATGATGTTCAACATCATAAGGCATTAGGGAAATTAAATTAAAACCATGATGAGATAACACTACACACCTATTAGAATGGCTAAAATAAAAATTACAAAAAATACCCAGAGCTGTTGCAGATGGGGAACAAGTAGAACTCTCATTCATAGCTAGTTCAGACATAAAACGGTACAGCCACTCTGGAAAACAGTCTGGCAGTTTCTTAGGAAGTTCAACATACAGTTCCCACATGACCCCGTGATCCCACATCAGGCTCTACTAAGCAAGAAAAAAAAGAGGATGAACGACCTGAATCAATCTCCAAGGCAATGGGCTGAGTCAGTCTCAAAGGCAACATACTATGTGACTCCATGCATCTGACATTCCAGCAAAGAAAAAAATACAGGGACAGAGAATAGATCAGTGGCTACCAGGGGTTGGGGGTGGAGGAGGTCTGGCTGCAAAGGGACAGCAAGAGGGAGCTCTCTGGGGTGTGGATGGAACTGTTCTGTAACCTGTCAGTGGTGGAGGTTACAAAAGTCTCTGCAGGTGTTAAAACTGTGATTGCACCAGAAAAAAAATGAATTTTACTGTGTGTACATTAAAAATAAGTTTTAAAAAGATAAATTGTCATCAACAGTAATAATACCTTCTATTTCTCCATCTAAGGGAGGAACATCATCTCTCATGGAAAAATCCATAGCTGTCCCTGGAATGTCCATCAAGTCTTCATCACTGGAGCTGCTCCGGAAGCTATTGAAACTCCCCTGCTGAAAGCCTCTGTTATCCATGGCTCCTGCACAGAAAGAAAAACAGGAGGCTTATTACAATGACCTTCAAGCCCCTTACCACTTATCCTTCTTTTTTTAAATGTGGTAAATACACATAAAATTTACCATTTCAACCATTCTAAACTAGACAATTCAGTAGCATTAAGCTCCTTTACAATGTTTTGCAATTATCATCGCTCTCCATTTCCAGGAATTTTTCATCATCCCAAACAGAAACTCTGTACCCAGTAAACATAACTCCCTCCCACCCCCACCCCCTTATAACTGCTATTCTCCACCTCCATGATATGCCAATTCCAGATATTTCATATAAATTTCATCATACAATCTGTGACCCATGTCTGGCTTCTTTCACTTTTCATAACGTTCTCAAGGCTCATCCATGTTCTGGCACGTACCAGTACTTCATTCCATTTTCAGACTGAATAGTACCCATTGTACGGCTAGACCACATTTTGTTTATCCGTTCATCGGTTGATGGACATTTGGGTAGTTTTCCCCTTTTGGGTTACTACCAACTCTATTTTTTATCATTGAAGTATAGTTGACATACGTTATACTAGTTTCAGGTGTGCAACACAACGATTCAACAGTTCTATACATTACTCAGTGCTCACCATAGTAAGTGTAGTCACCATCTGTCACCATGTAATGTTATTACAATATTACTGACTATATTACCTATGCTGTACTTTCTATCTCTGTGACTTATTTATTTTATAAATGAAAGCTGGTACCTCTTAATCCCCTCTACCAATTTTGCCCATCCCCCACCCACTTCCCCTCTGGCAACCACCTGTTCTCTGGATTTGAGTCTGTTTCTTTGTTCATTTTTGTTTTTTAGATTCCACATAAAAGACAAATAATATGGTATTTGTCTTTCTGTGTCAGACTTATTTCACTTGGCAGAACACCCTCTAGGTCTGAGTAACGCTCCATCGTGTATATATACCACATCTTCTTTAGCCATTCATCTATCGATAGACACACTTGGGTTGCTTCCACATCATAGCTACTGTAAATAATACTGCAGTAAACACAGAGCTACACATATCTTTCTCAAATTGGTGCTTTTAAACTTTCTTTAAGTAAATACCCAGTAGTGGAATTACTGGATCATATGTTATTCCTATGTTTAATTAAGGAACCCCTATACTGTTTTCCACAGTGGTTGCACCGATTTATACTCCCAACAGTGCGCAAGGGTGCTCTTCTCTCTACATCCTCATCCACACTTGTTATTTCTCATCTTTTTGATACTAGCCATTGTGAGTGGGGTGAGGTGGTATCTCACTGTGGTTCTGCTCTGCATTTCCCTGATGATGAGTGATGCGGAGCACCTTCATGCGTCTGTTGGCCACCTGTATGTCTTCTTTGGGAAAACGTCTATTCAGGGTTACCACTTATTCTTAGGTCATCTTTCATGCTCTTACTTGGACAATAGAGACATGCAAACTACTTAGTATATTCAGTTACCATTCAGATGTAGTGTGCCTCTACCCTTACCATGTAGTTGACGGCCATTTTTTGAGAACCATGCAAATGGGCAAACCAAATGAGGACATGTGTACAAAACTCCTGGGAGTTCATAAGTAATCAACTGAAATAAAACCTACACATCAGTACTAAGAAATGTGTGGGCCATTTAGGAGTAGAGAAATATTATCTCATGGCTCTGACTCTCCCAGAGCTCCTAACACAATGCAGATGCTCAGAAATACTGGGGGAAAGAGGCATGCTATGCTGTTTAATGTTTTTCTGTGTTCAAGAATTTAATATTAAAGATGAAACATTTCCTATATCCCAAGTGTGAATCTTTCCATTATAAATATTACTCAGAAAAATCTTAGTATATTGGGGGACCTGGGTGACTCAGTCATTAAGCATCTGCCTTCGGCTCAGGTCATGATCCCAGGGTCCTGAGATCAAGACCCACATTGGGCTTCCTGCTCAGTGGGAAGCCTGCTTCTCCCTCTCCCACCGCCGCTGCTTATGTTACTTTTCTCACTCTCTCTCTGTCAAATAAATAAATAAAATATTTTTTTAAAAATCTTAATATATTGATTTTTTAAAATAGCATTATAGTCAACTTTATTTCACCTAATCCTGCCCCCCCTTTTTTTAATGAAATATTGATCCAAAATCATAGTCAGCAGAATTCTTTTGGGTTTGGCAAATAATATTCCTTTTGAAGTATTCCAATTCTTTTAAGAAACTTCTTACTTTTTTTAGGTTATCAGAATTATATATGATGAATGTGGAAAAATTAGATGGGATAAATTAAGCAAAAGGGCTGGAAAATTGGAATAATAGATAAATATTTTAAACACTGAGCATAAAGGATAAATAACCAATATTTACCAGGTACTTATCAATTTTTAGGCACTGGGCTATATGCTTAAACTGAACTCTTTCATTTAACTTTTCCAATGTTTCCATGCTGTAGCATTATCACTCCTAGTGCAGATGAGGAAACTCACGGAGCACAGAGAGGCTAAGTATTTGCCCAGTTAATATTTCATGAAAAGTCAAGCTCTAAATCATGCGTTCAATTTCATAAGAACTCGCTTCTAATAGAGACCAGCCTGACTGAAGTATGAGTGACATTTATGAACCACCTGTTATGTACAAACCATTGCAGGACAGTGGGACAAAAATGAAGCTGGGTAAGCCAGATGAGATGAAGATTGAGAGACAAAGATCTGAGAGTCATCAACATCAAGGTGATAGTCGAAACCAAGAGAACAGATATCCCAAGGGAAATCTGCCATTCACTTATGGATAAGGACAAATATAAAGAAAAGAAATGCATTCCCAGCACCCTCCCTTAATATGCACAAATAGCTTGAACTCTGTACAGACATGAATAAGAAGTTCCCCAGGAACATTACCATGCTTATGTGGGACGTATGGTCAGGTAGGGAAGGTAGCGCCATGTATCCAAAGGTATGAATAATGTACAAAATTACTGATCAGAAAACCATTTCCTGGGGTGCCTGGGTGGCTCAGTCATTAAGCATCTGCCCTCAGCTCAGGTCACAGTCCCATGTTCCTGGGACTGAGCCCCACATCGGGCTCCCTCCTCTGCAGGAAGCCTGCTTCTCCCTCTCCCACTCCCCTTGCTTGTGTTCCCTCTCTCACTGTCTCTCTCTGTCAAATAACTAAATAAATAAAATCTTTAAAACAAAAAAAGGAAAATCATTTCCTCAGCTACAAGAACTCTAACCTTGCTTTGTGGATCAAGTGGGTCCTAGGATACTAAGAATCTATGCTCCATGGCCTTAGCTGGGTTCCTTCCCAGCTGCATGCCAATCCTTCACTCTCACAGGACTCTTTCCCCTGCTCTACTGCTCCCTCCACTCCCCTTCTCTGAGCACCTCCCACAACAAACTGTGCATACACAGAATGCCCAGTCTCAGTTGCTGCTTCTAGGGAAACTGACCTACCGCAGGACCCTTAGCATTTTTTCCCTATTACTAACAACATGGGAAAATCCTGAATTTCTCTGTCTTCCCTCGTGCCATACAGGAAGAAGTGTTTTTACTTTTTATTTAAGAAAAAAGGGGGCAGGGGGCAAGGGGCGCCTGGGTGGCTCAGTTGGCTAAGCGTCAGCCCTTGGCTCAGGTCATGATCCCAGGGTCCGGGGATCAAGTATCACATCAGGCTCCTTGCTGACAGGGAGCCTGCTTCTCCTTCTGCCTGCTGCTCCCCTAGCTTGTGTTCTCTCTCTTTCTCTATCTCTGACAAATAAGTAAATAAAATCTTTAAAAAAAAAAAAAAGAAAAAGAAAGGGCCTCTTTACTTTTTTCTGGATCTAACTGAGATCACAGATCCTTCTCCACCTTAATCTGATTTATTTCAGTGGATCCTCTAAAGAAACCTGCTATCCCTAGCTCTCATCTCCACCTCGAGCTCTGGTCCTGAATTCCCAAGAACTCCGCTACCTCAAACTCAACAGGATGAAAATTAAAAATACACCAGAAATAACATCACCTAAAACACAACCCATAAAATCCAAACAAAGACATGTTCCCTGCCCTCACCCTCCACATCATCTTTCCTTTTTAAATGCAGCTGGCATCAGAGTCAATATTTATAGTTAATATTTGTCTAACTCTGGATTTACCACCTTCAACAAACCTACAAAAAGCACTTTATCTCAAGAGTAGGTATTCTGGGTTTCTAGAAATCTTTGCTAAAAACAAACATCATTTTAGCTGATGAGAGGAACTCAGGTTAAAAGGGTAGCACAACTCGAGAGGTTTTCTTTCCGTTTATATTTACTAAATGCCCATGAATCCCATACAGTGACTAGCACTGAATAAGAAAAAAAGAAAATTTGCAAAATAATGCAGAATCCTTTTCCTCTCTCTCCACTGGTTGCATGTTTCATTCAGGAAATGAGGTAAAATACACAGTGCCAGCAACTTTACGTTAGCCACACAAATCATGAGAAGAAAAAGTATGGGGAGTCCAAAAATAATTTATGTCTGGCTTTGGAATATGTCCTGTGGTCATATTTTCAGATGTGTGTACCTATTGTTCTGAGAATTCATTAAAACAAAATAATGACACTACAGGATGAGGGCTCACAAAGGAGAAGCTGGAAAACTTTTCAGTTTCCCCATGGGGACCTTACGAACTCTTTCCTGTAACCCACTGACACAGAACAATCCAGCTAAATTGAGCTGCCTCATTCTAAACATTTCCTGGAGCAGCTATCTGGTTCACTGTTTAGGTTATAAAGTGCTTCCTTAATAAATACACAGGAATAAGGGGTCAACAAAAGAAAATTAGAAGTAGCAAGTAAATAGAGCAAAACAGATCCTATAAACAAGAGTCCGACAAAGGAAATAAACACAATTGGTAAAACGCAAGACTGACATTTGCCTATGGATAATCCATTTCGGTACAACTGTTGGTTTTACTCTGCAGATATAAAAAAGTTCAAGAGAAAAAGTTAAAGCAGCAGAATAATGAGGAAATGAAGTTCCTTACAT